ATTTAACTAGATAATGCCCTATTTAGACATAACATTTAAAAAAAACTCGTAATACAAAAAAAGTTTGCAATTCTTATTGCAATCTATCAACTAGGGAAGTATGGTGGTATCTAGTCATTTTTGTGGGTGTCTTCCCTTAAATCATGATGAAACCGTCTGAAAAACCCCAATAAGTTCAAATTCAGATCAACATTAAAGGGTCCGTTCACCCAAAAAGAAAAATTCATCATTGAAAACAGCATGTGCATTTTCAGGTGAACTATTCCTTTAAAACAACACTTAAATAGGTCTGAATCTCGGTGGTTTTGTTCTGAAAGGCTGGTTGTGTTTATCGACGGGCCGCTGGTGTTCGTTCACAGGGATATTGGTTGCCCGTCTGAGCCAGCGCCAGCTCATCTGGGTTACATGATTCTGTCACATTGGACCATGAAGGCAGGTCATTGTCTGTGCCATCGACATGAACCATGTTTAGAAGAACATACATTATATGACCCATTCAGGAGATCATTTCCTCATTAAAAATGTCCCGGGGGACTAATTTAACACCAATGAACCCATCGGTGGGGGTGTGGGGGTGATGGCATCTGCTCTAATTATTACAGCACGTACTGAGATCAAGGTTATGCTCAGAATAAAATACTAGATTACTACACTGCATACTATTTTTTTGTGAAACAGCATACAGGCATTTCAAATAGTAGTATGCTTCACTGTTGTCACATGACCTCATTATATGCACGTTAAACTCAGCAAGTGGCATCAAATTATCTGATCAAATAATCCAATCAGATGCTGTAGGATTACATGCAAACAGAAAATGCACATAATATGCATTTGTAAATGAACAAATGTAAAATGCAAAAACAGTAGGACTGCTACTACGAATACATTTTTTTCTATCCATTAATCTATCATTTTTTTCTGTATCTCCAGATTAGTTGATTATTCCTTTGATTAACATACCAATAAATAATGACTGTGACTTCTGCTATTAATTTTTTTAAAGTTTTATTCAACTAACCCTAAGCCTTTCTCATAAAAATACTTAATTAACAAATAAATACTAAAATGGTATTCATAAATAATAATATTTAAGGTTGCAAAGGCATGGTCAATTTCCAGAAACTTCTGGAAAGTTTCCAAAAAATCCTGTAAAATTTTCTGAAATGTACCTGAAATGTTCTGCCCCTTTGCAACCCATATAATAATGATAATAATAATAATATGAAGGAATTTATCAGCAATGTAAATGTCTATGACAACATAAATTAAGCCCATCAATGACTAGTGCTGATTATAACCAGAAATGCACTTGTATTAAGTTACATGTCAACTTTCTTAACTTTTTAAATGCAATTATGCTAAACTTAAGAATTAGTTTTAACAATATTTATTTTGAATAACATTATCAAGTTGATTTCAAACAGATTCACAAAACCCTTTCAGTTTGAACAATTTACAGCGAAATACCAAGCAGTCCCTGAAACAAAGAATCAATTCTATCATTTCAGAGGTCAGGTTTTAGGCTTTAGGAGTCAAGAGGTCATGGACACACAGGCGTTTAATGCTAACCCTCTGCTGACAGGCTATATTCTTCCTCTTACCAGCCACTTTTACCTGCTTCTATTTTAGACAGCCTTCAGGCACCTGCTCCGAGATACGAAAGAGTCACTCTGTGTTTCAACGAACATGTTTTAAAAAATAGAGGAATATTCATGAAGTTTAAAAAAGGGACAAACGGACAAAGATACATGAACTGTCTTGGAAAATACAGCATATGTCAGTGCTTCAATACATTTTTTTCTATCCATTAATCTATCATTTTTTTCTGTATCTCCAGATTAGTTGATTATTCCTTTGATTAACATACCAATAAATAATGACTGTGACTTCTGCTATTAATTTTTTTAAAGTTTTATTCAACTAACCCTAAGCCTTTCTCATAAAAATACTTAATTAACAAATAAATACTAAAATGGTATTCATAAATAATAATATTTAAGGTTGCAAAGGCATGGTCAATTTCCAGAAACTTCTGGAAAGTTTCCAAAAAATCCTGTAAAATTTTCTGAAATGTACCTGAAATGTTCTGCCCCTTTGCAACCCATATAATAATGATAATAATAATAATATGAAGGAATTTATCAGCAATGTAAATGTCTATGACAACATAAATTAAGCCCATCAATGACTAGTGCTGATTATAACCAGAAATGCACTTGTATTAAGTTACATGTCAACTTTCTTAACTTTTTAAATGCAATTATGCTAAACTTAAGAATTAGTTTGAACAATTTTTATTTTGAATAACATTATCAAGTTGATTTCAAACAGATTCACAAAACCCTTTCAGTTTGAACAATTTACAGCGAATACCAAGCAGTCCCTGAAACAAAGAATCAATTCTATCATTTCAGAGGTCAGGTTTTAGGCTTTAGGAGTCAAGAGGTCATGGACACACAGGCGTTTAATGCTAACCCTCTGCTGACAGGCTATATTCTTCCTCTTACCAGCCACTTTTACCTGCTTCTATTTTAGACAGCCTTCAGGCACCTGCTCCGAGATACGAAAGAGTCACTCTGTGTTTCAACGAACATGTTTTAAAAAATAGAGGAAGATTCATGAAGTTTAAAAAAGGGACAAACGGACAAAGATACATGAACTGTCTTGGAAAATACAGCATATGTCAGTGCTTCAACTGTCAGCTAAATGCAGAATTACAATAGGGCCTATGTCATACACAATACTTCTACTTTAAACAACATTGTTAGACTATTGTACATGCAATTATGAAACCATATTATTCATTGAGAGACTGGGTACATGCAAGCCTTTACTACTTATATATTACTTAATGCACGTCACATGACCCCTACAAAACAACAAAACCCTTCATATCAAAAGTTCATATCTATGTTGTCACCAAATGCATTAGCATTGCTCACATAGATTTGACCAAGTTTGCACAACCTGACTAGTTCTCAACTAGCAATCGCAGAAAATGCACAAAGAAAAAAAGCCTGTTCAAAAATGTGGTCTCATTTTGAACTAGAAGACTCTTTTGTTGTTCAGGTGAAAAGTCTGGGATAATTTATGCGAGTTTGACTGCAGACCTCCACATGACCCTAAAATGCCAGACTAACATTAAGAGAACACAACTAATCAAACAGTACGACAGATACAGGTTAACCAAGTTAGCCGTGTCTGTATGAACTTATGTAAACAGTGAAGAGAGAAGACAGCAGAGTCGCTGTCAGGCCCATATCGGCTCATTTTTTCTGTTATCGGTATCGGCCTGATAAGAAAATTTGGCCGATATCTTAAAGCCGATAAATAATGCATTATTTCCTTCAGAGACACTTCAGATGTGCGCTGTTCGTTTGCAGCCTTTTGTGCAATTGTACGTTGTAATATTGTGTTTATTTGATGTATATCTGATTTATCTCATATAGAATGCGTTTGGTTAAGTTAAAAGAGCGCTTCAGTTTACCGGTGATCGTCTTTAGCTCAGCGCACGCAGCTCAAACAGCAGTGCACAACATTAATAACTATGATTGGGAATGTCGTGTATATAACATTCTAATGAGAACATTATTATAATAAAACGTTGTGCATTCTTTGGGTTTAGTTGCTGTGTTTCAGCGCGTTGTTATGGGAAGAGCGCATCCACAACAGGATCACACATTCTGACTATAGCATGCAATAACTGCGTCATTTTGTACATATATAAGTTGTAATATTATGTTTATGTTGTATTAATATTAATCTCAGGATGCATTTCCTTGAGTTAAATAAGCTGCCAGCAAAACGCTTCAGTTTACCTTGTTCATTCAGCTCTTCAGCTTCAGCACGCGCAGCTCAACGGCTGCTGTTTAAAACAGTGGTATTAATTTGTTACTTTTTCAAAATCATTGATATATTATTAATAACAACAACCACTTGTATTTTTCTCTTATTATTTTCATCAACAATATGGTTTAGTAATTAAAATCATTTAATTATTGTCCGTGCAGAGGCTATTCCGTTTTATTGATCTATGGCGCATTCATTTTGATTCTTTACACGTGTAATGATGTCCAGTGACTTGTTTGCATTATTTATGCATCATTTTATTTATTTGTAAGACTTTTTTATGACTAAATTTGGTAATGGGAGAGTAAAAATATTTTTAAAACGTACACCGTTCAAACTAGGTTGCTTATGTTGAAGTGTTTGGGATGTGGCTTTTAATGATGAGACCTTTTTTGTAATCAGGCTCTCAAAAAGTATATAACAATTTAGATATAGATTTATCGGCCAACATATCGGTTATCGGCTTTCAAAAATAAAGAATAATCGGTTATCGGTATCGGCCAAAATTTTCATATCGGTGCATCCCTAATTAGCATTGCTCACATAGATTTGACCAAGTTTGCACAACAACTAGCAATCGCAGAAAATGCACAAAGAAAAAAAGCCTGTTCAAAAATGTGGTCTCATTTTGAACTAGAAGACTCTTTTGTTGTTCAGGTGAAAAGTCTGGGATAATTTATGCGAGTTTGACTGCAGACCTCCACATGACCCTAAAATGCCAGACTAACATTAAGAGAACACAACTAATCAAACAGTACGACAGATACAGGTTAACCAAGTTAGCCGTGTCTGTATGAACTTATGTAAACAGTGAACGAGAGAAGACAGCAGAGTCGCTGTCAGCCAATGAGCGTTTGTCCTTAAAAACAAGCGAATATTTCCCTTTTGTTCCATTGTTTCGGAGCCAAATATAAAGTAACACTGAATAAAACAGCAACAAAACGCAGCATTCAAACAGCTGAGGAGGGTAAAACTGACGCGTATTGTCGTGTAGAGGAGGAATAAACCTGCTGTAAACCATCCAGTCGCGGAGGAACAAGTGCAGCTCAAAGTCCTCAAAGCTCTCGAGAGCAGAGTCCATAGAAACCGGAGGAAAACAATCGTCAAACCCTGAAAACGCAGCGGCTGAATCCCGCGCAGACACTCACCAGGGCGGCGTCAAGGGTTCCGCTCCTCCGCGAGGGCCAAGCGTTTAAAGTTTAAAGAGTTTGTGAGAGCTGATGCCGCGACCTGACGCGTTTCTCCCTCTCAGCAGTGTGTGTGTGTGTGTGTGTGTGTGTGTGTGTGTGAGAGAGAGAGAGAGAGAGAGAGAGAGCCAGCAAAAGAGGTGCAAATGAGATGCTTACAAACGACACGATATACATTTAATTTTTTAGATTTTAATATATTATATTTTTATTTGATACATATTTGATTTTAAAACATGATTTAAATGTTTTAGTTAATTATATTAGGATTTTATGTTTTTCTTAGGAAGCATTTTTATGAAAGTAACTAATAAATGTTAAATAATAATAAATGTTTAAAAATGATAATAAATAAAAAAATATTATTTCATATTTAATTATTTATGTTATGTTGTTATATATATGTGTGTGTGTGTGTGTGTGTGTGTGTGTGAGTGTGTGTGTGTGTGTGTGTGTATGTGTGTGTGTGCGCGTTTTTGTGACAAATGAGGACATAAATGTGTATAATGACAAAGGTATGACAGGTATTACAAGGAGAAGGTGACTTTTCAGGACATTACCCCATGTCCCCACTTTTCAAAACGCTTATAAATCACACAGAATGGAGTGTATTGAAAATCTGAAATAGCAGAAAGTCTCCTGTGAGGGGTAGGTTTAGGGGTAGGGTTGGTGTAGGGCAATAGAATATACGGTCTGTACAGTATAAAAACCATTACGCCTATGGAGAGTCCACACTTTTCACAAAAACAAACCTGTGTCAGTGTGTGTGTGTGTGTGTGTGTTAAATAAAATATCATATTAGAACTTGCAACAGCTTGGTTAGTTACTAGAAAGATAAAACCTCATGAATAGTCTTTTTAAACAAATCGGTTAAGTGAATGATTCAATGACTCGTTCCTAATGGCGGTCACTTGTTTCGTTTCTAAATGAATCAGCTTTTTTTGAACGAATCGGTTGAGTGGATGATTCAATGAATCAGAGTTGTTAAACAAATCAGTTGACTGAATGATTCAATACATACTTATAGTACAGTCACTTGTTGCCACCTACTGGTGTAACTGTGAAAACTGCGGTAAGTGGCTCTGAAAAATCCATTAATACACAGACAGTATGTCTGTAACCAACAAAAATATTTTACAAATATTAAAAAAAAGACATTTTATTAAAATAAAGTATTTTAGTCAGCCTTGTAATAAAATTATTTATCTATTTTAAATGTTTCTTTTTTTCAGCCCTGAGAAGTTACTGAAGCTGACAGGATTTATCACATAATTACATACTACTTCAAGATATAGACCGAGCCAGGCAAAAACATCCTTCACTGAAAATATTGTCTAATCAAAAGTGTGATGTTTTATAAACACATGTCAAACTGAATTATGAAACGACTCATTATAAATTCAAATGTGTATAAACTGCTGCCTTCATATCAGAAGCCGTTTATGTGAGTCATGAATGATGACAGATGTACTTGGCTTAATGTTATACGGTTGAAGAACCGAGTCCTGGTTGTGTTTGAAAAACATAATTCAGGGTTAAATATAGATATATGGATTTATAGGGAATATATAGTCAAATATGTAAAGTTATTGCACCTGTAGGGTCATTGTGTTTACGTAACCTGCATTTTAAAAGCTAACCTGTGGTCCTAGTGTTACATAACCTCAGTATGTGAGGATCCGTGTTACACTGTAACCTAGATTTGCTTTAATCCCGCAGCTCTGAGGACAGAGGAGTGTTCGTTTTTGACCTCTCTGTCTCAGCTTATGGGCCTTTACATTACAGTGGAAGCTTATAAGATATAAAAAGATGAAAAAGAAACATTTGTCCCTTCACAAGCAAGCTGGAAGAAAGAAATGAAAGGCCCCTTGTCGAAAGGTCAAAGGTTATGTGACATTTTCTGCCCATGGAGGAGTGAATCCAAAACATGAGTATGGAGGACAGAGCAAGCATTGTCTTTTTCCTCCACGTTAGCATTACTATTAATTTTTATATATTTTTTTGTTTTATCACAACATATTTCATGGCCTCTTTTAAAAAGCTAATTCTCATAACTTGTGTGACCTGTGCTGTTATCCATCAAACCTTCCTCTGGCTACTGGATATTTAGCTTTGATGATCCATGCAAACTGTTTCCATCTGTTTTCACATCTTGTTTTCATAGAGCGACCCTTTGTTCTTCTTTATCTGTTACACCCTGATCAGCCGAGCTAGAAGAATTTTACAGAGAGTGATTTGAGGTAATGACACTCCTTACACAGATGCAGTATTTACTTACACACAGATCTGATAAATCAGCTGCAGTTTAGTGTGTGCTGGTGTAACACAGATAACGTGTTCGTGTGATCTGTACGTCACGCTCTGAGTGCTGTGTGTAATGCTGATCGGTCACTGATCGTAAACATGCATGTGCTGGATCCAGAGTGTCACATACACCTGTGAGGTCACAGAATGTGAGGTATTTTATGATCAGATCTGACCTATATACTGTAGATATGAACTACAGGAATCAGATCAACTAGATTCTGACATGTTATGAAGAAAAAATGAGCAGTGCTTGTGTGTGCAAAACTACTATGATACTAGGGTGTTCTGGGTGGTTGTCAAGGTGTTGCTATGTGGTAGCTTGTGTATTCTAGGTGGTTGCTAGGGAGTTGCTATGAGGATGCTCGGGTGTTCTAGGTGGTTGCCAGGGAGTTGCTGTGTGGTTGTTAGAGCACAGAATTGCTATGTGGTTGCTAGGATGCTGCTATATTGTTTCTAGGGTGTTCTAGGTGGTTGTCAGGGAGTTACTATGTGCTTGCCAGGGCACAGTGTTGCTATGTGGATGCTAGGATGTTACTAAGTGGATGCTAGGGTGCTCTAGGTGGTTGCTATATGGTTGCTAGGGTGTCCAAGGTGGTTGCTAGGAAGTTGCTATGTGCTTGCTAGGGCACAGAGTTGCTATGTGGTTGCTAGGATGTTGCTAAATGGCTGCTAGGGTGTATTAGGTGGTTGCCAGGGAGTTGCTATGTGGTTGCTAGGGTGCACTAGGTGATTGCGAGGGAGTTGCTATGTGCTTGCCAGGATGTTTTCGGTGGTTGCCAAGGAAAATCCTATGTGGTTGCTAGGTCACAGAGTTGCTAAGTACTTGCTAAGGTATTCTAGGTGATTGCCAGGGTGTTCTAGGTGGTTGCCAGGGAGTTGCTATGTGCTTGCCAGGGGACAGAGTTGCTATGTGGTGCTAAGGTGTTGCTATATGGCTACTAGGGTGTTCTATGTGGTTGCCAGGGAGCTGCTATGTGGTTCCTTGGATGTTCTGGATAGTTGCCATGGAGTTGCTATATGGTTGCCAGGGAGTTTCTGTGTGTTTACTCAGTGTTCTAGGTGGTTGCCATGGTGTTGCTATATGGTTGCTAGGGTGTTCTGGATGGTTGCCAGGGAGTTGCTATGCAGTTGCTTGGACATTCTGAATAGTTGCCATGGAGTTGCTGTATGGTTGCCAGGGAATAGCTATGTGCATACTATGGCGTAGTTTTAGCTCACAGATGAATTTTGTTTATTGTTAATATGATATTTATTTTTCACAGAACTCTGTACTCATGTGATGCAATTCAAATGTGACCTTTTGAACATTCTACTGTTTCCCAGCAGTAAAAGCTATAATCCTTATCATAGTGCAAATGATTATGTAAATATTATTTTTTGTGGTGCATACAAGCACATACAGGACTTCTGAATAGAGTTCTTTCTATTTTACACAGCATGCAACATTTGTAAACATCATACAGAAAATGGTTGCAGTCCTGCTGATTGGTTAGTATAACAGCTACTATGTATGCAAACTATTAAACATTCTCTCACCCGTTTCCATTTCAGCTGCTCTTCTGAGTGGCTTAGGGTGGAATGGATCCGCTAGGACGCAGAATTATCCTCAGACACGCCTGGAATCCAGATCATGGAGATCCCAGCAACAATCAGGCCTCCAGAGAGGAGTCTAAACCCGACTTCTGCAATTCTAAATCCTGGTTTAAACCACAAATCCAGGACAAAAATGATCAGCCGTGTTTTACACCTGTGACCATTATAAGTAACAGAATGGTTCAGTAATTTTAATAATATTTTTTAATAATTATGCAAATAATAAAAACTCATTTGATATAATTCTGATAATTAATAATTAATTGGTTTTTATATAAATTATTATTACATAAAATATTTTTTATGTTTAATGTAATATTTCTAATAATAATAATATAGTACATTTATTATCCTTATTATTATGCACCTTGAGGATGTTGTGAGCTTAATAAATAATGCAATTATTAATGTAATAAAAAACAATGTAAATTTTTCATGTTTAATGTATAATAATAATAATTTATGCTGCATATTGAGGATGTTGTGAGCTGTAAGACAGTGGCAGAGAGACAGAGACAGACAGAGACAGAGGCGCTGGCAAGTATCTAGTTTCAGTTGAACATTCCTGCAGGATTAAACTGTCCTTGAGTCAGTCAGACACCAACAGATTCAACCCTGCATGTCATTACTGAAGTACACAGCACATTTCACCACAGTCCCGGACTCCCGGTCCAATAAAAGTACAGGAGTCTAGTTCACATATCAACACTAACACAATGGGAGATGCTTGGAGCTCGTGCTCCATCTGGTGTCGAAGCATCGAACAGGTTTATCTATTATTTGTTCATCATATTCATTAGAAAATATTTTCTTTTCTTTTAGCTCTTTTTAAGGTGTTATATATTACTATTATTATATATAATATATTTACACTATATATTAAGATTACAATGAGATCATTTTAGTGTACAATAGATAATATTTAAATTTTTTAAAGCATCTTTTTTTTTTTTACAAATTATGAGCACGTTTTACTAGCTATTTTCAGGTGTGTTATATATTACCATTATTACATATATATATATAATTTTTTTTTAATAAAAGACAATTTTTTTCTAAAAAATTAATTTTAGTGTACTCACATTCACCATTAGAGGTCACAATATAACAAATTTTACATCCACAAGGGTTTTTATCAATTCAAGCAGGTTTTGTATTAGATTCATATAATTCAGATTACGTATTGTGATTAATCTGAGTTATTAATTATTTTATGTGGCCCAGAATATCAGTTTATAGGATGAATTCAGGTAAAATGAATTGATATTTAGATACCCAGAGGTTTCTGAAAAAAAGAGCAGACGCGTGTAGACAGCAGCAGCAGGGCCTGTACGTCATCAAGATCAGACCAGGCTGAATGGCTTTTATTATTTTCTAAGATTATATGGAAGCCCGTTTCCGCTACTGAAAAAAAGGTAATTGCAACTTTTTATCTAACAATTCTGACTTTTTTGCAGAATTGCGTGATATAAACTCTCAATTGCAAGTTCCAAAGTCAGAAATGCACGAAAAAAAATCACAATTGCGAGATAAACGTGCAATTGTGAGAAATAGTCGGAATTGTGAATTTATATCTCACAATTCCGACTATTTCTCAGAATTGCACGTTTATCTCGCAATTGTGATTTATTTCTTGCATTTCTCTCATCATTGTTATATAACTTCACAATTGCCAGTTATAAAGTCAGAATTGTGGGATATAACCTTGCAATTGTGAGAACATCTAAATTGTGAGACAAACTCGCAACTGCGAGAAAAAGTCAGAATTGCAAGAAAAATGTCAGAAATGTGTGTTTAAAAACTCGCAGTTGCATGTTACAAAGTCCGAATTGTGAGATATAAAATCAGTATTGTGAGAAAAAAGTTACAATTGTGCATTTATATCTCGCAATTCTGATTTTATTTTTTGCAACTGCGAGTTATAAAGTCAGAATTGCGGGATATAAACTCTTAATTGCAAGAAATAAAATCAGAATTGCGAGATATAAGCTTGCAATTTAGAACATTTTCATGTCTCACAATTCTGACTTTGTAACACAATTTAACACACAGTTGAAATCACGCAATTCTGACTTTATAACTAATAATTGCGGGTTTGTATCCCACAATTTTGAGAATTTTTTTTTTAGAATTGTGAGATAAAGTCAAACAATACAAATAAATAATAAAGTATAAATCATAGAAATTATTACATTAAATAAATATAGAAATTATATATTTAACACAACTGAAAAAACTGTAAATAATAAACAACACAAATAAACAATATAAATAATAAATCATGTATATATATATATATATATATTTTAATATCAATTATATTTTTATATGATTATAATATATGTAATTACATCAAAAACAGCAGTATTGATCTATATTAGCTATAAAAAGGATATTAAATGCAGCATAGGGAGATCTAGGAAGAACAGAATAATTATTTAAATAAAAAGGTGAAAAAACTAATTTTTAAACATTTTTTTAAAAGCTATTTTTTTTAAATGCTAATAACAACTTTAATTAGTTTTCATTTAATTTTAGTAGATTTTGTTATGTGCTCTTTTTCATTAGTATTTTTTTTTTAATATTATTACTCTTTTTTTTAATTATTTATTTCAGTTGTAGTTTACTTTTTTTAAAGTTTATTTTCCAGTAATCTTAGTGCTTTAGTTTAACTTATTTCAGTTAGCTGCCAAACTAACTTTTAGTTTTAGTTAAAGGGATAGTTCACCCAAAAATGAAAATGTGATGTTAATCTGAGACTTACAAAAGTTCTTTAAAAACCTACAGAGAATAACACAGTGCTGTACAATTAAGACAGACAGACAGATGATAGATGGGTAGATAGATAGATAGATAGATAGAGTCAGATTATAGACAGACAGACGATGATACATAGATAGATAGACAGACGTTTAGAGTGATAGACAGAACAATAGATAAAACTATAAATAGACAGACAGATGCTGTACTGCCCCCGTCTGGTCACAGTTTGAACTACATTCTGTCTCTTTGACACAGGAGGGTCTTTAGGGAGTTTAACCTCTGAAAACCTATTAGTGAGTTTCAGCGTGTGCAGCAGATCTCCAGCTCTCTCACACTTTCACTCTCAGCTCATTTCATTTCTGTAGCAGCTCTGAAACGGCTTCATTAGAGACATGAACTCAATTTCCCATGAGGCCTCTGCTCTCCCTCTCTCTGCGGTTTGTGTTTGTTCTGCTGAGTTGTGGAGATTGTGGAAGTGTGTAAGGTGGCTTTTCCTGAGTCAGCTGTACCCTGAAATGACCCGATCGCTGTCTGCTCACACACACACACACACACACAAACCATAGGCATGATTTTTTTCATGTACAAACTGTATTTTCTATCCCCTTACCCTAACCCAGGGCTGCCCAAACTTGGTCCTGGAGGGCCGGTGTCCTGCAGAGTTTAGCTCCCACCCAAATTAAACACACCTGAACCAGCTAATCAAGCTCTTACTAGGCATAGAAACTTCCAGGCAGGTGTGTTGAGGCAAGTTGGAGCTAAACTCTGCAGGACACCAGCCCTCCAGGACCGAGTTTGGGCAGCCCTGCCCTATCCCTACCCCTCACAGGAAACTTTCTGCATTTTTATATTTTCAAAAAACTTAATTCTGTATGATTTACAAACTTGTTTCCTCATGGGGACAAAAAAAAATTCGTGAAACCACATAGACTTCTACACATATTACTTCTACACTTCTATATATATTATAGAATATTTATTTTATACATATTTTAAATATTTATATCACCTTGTGATTGTTTCTATCAACTAACATCCCTAAAAAGTAGATAAGTAAGTTTCAACACACTGTACCTGTGTTATAGAAGAACGCTTCTATGATGGTGCAGTTCTTGAAGAAGGAACCAATGGAGCTGACGTCCTCAAAGAAACAGCTCTGAAAGGTGGAGTCGATGAAAGTCACAGACTTAAACTTCATGCCAATGAACCTGAAAAAAAGACAGGACTGGTCAGGACACAATTAACCAGCTCGAGGAACAGCATACAAGCACATCAAACCTTAAAATATTAATGAGAAAGAATCAAGATCAGTTCAATCTGGCATGTGGCACCAATAAGGAAATAATCAACATCGAAAATCTTCTCTTCTCTTAGTTAGCAATTGGATTCAATGGAGGTCAACTGTTTACTCAAGCTTCTCAGATGATTCTCCATCCATCAACACTAACTGCGGTTACTGAAACCACGCCTTCTTTCTTTGCGTGCACATTTGGGCGGCATTATGCAAATATTTCCACATAGTGAGGTAGATATGTGGGGGCGTGTTAGAACGAGCCGTTTTAGGGGGGCGTGGCAGAGTCTTAACTTTGATAAAGAATATCTCTTTGGTTTTGAGACTTTAGTCTTTGCAACTTCAGGGATCTTATCTATGCACAATCAGCTTGTAACACTCCAAAGAGAAAGGAAAGCTTTAAATAATAAGCATTTGACCCCTTTAAATAATCTAATAAATTCATCGTGATTCGTGTGTGTGTGTGTGTGTGTGTGTGTGCGCCGTCTGATCTCATCTGCTCATAAATTAGAATCACAGGAGCTGGACGCCACAAAAACACGATAAGAGCTTCATCTCCAGGAGAGATAATAAACAAAAAGAAAGAGAAAGAATCAGAGCGAAACACAAAGAAAGAGAAAAGGAGGAGAGGAGAGATAAGGACGTTTTAATTTCCTGGCCCTGCGTCTGGATGTGACATTACCTCAACACCGGGATATTATTTATGAGAGAGAGATCAGACTGCTGAGAACAATAACACACATACACATACACACACACACACACACACACTCACACTCACACTCACACTCACACTCACACTCACACTCACACTCACACTCACACTCACACTCACACACACACTCACACACACACA